ACAGACTTCGGAAGATTGTTCAGAGAACTCAAAATCCGCAGGATAGAAGAAATTTTAATAAATGCAATAAAGAACTTAGGCTCATGATGATTAAGTATCGCTCAGAGGCATGGGAAAATTTTGTAGACAGCCTATCCCACACAGATTCTACTGTTTGGAGAATTAGTAAAGCGCTCAGAAAGGAGGAGAACAACATTGGCCCAATTAAACATAACAACCAGGCTTTTCATAAAGCTGAGGATATAGCAAACATCTTCGCTAGCGATTACGAAGACCAATTCACGTTAAATCAGTACCCCAACCCAAATGATGTTAACATCGAAAACCATGTAAAAGATTACATTGCTACTAATAGTCGCAGCGTAGGAAATCTCATCACCCCCCGACAAGTAAAAGATTGTCTTGATACTTTGAACCCAAAGAAAGCGGCCGGTTATGACGGGATTGGTAACAAAAGCCGTCAAGAACCTGAACAGGAAAGGGATAATCCTCATTACAAAAAATTTAAACGCCTGCTTAAATTTGAACTATTTCCCTAGTATCTGGAAACACGCTACCATTATCGTCATAAGAAAACCAGGAAAAGACGGGTCAATTACGAGCGGTTATAGACCAATCAGCTTGCTCCCTACTCTGCTAAATTATTTGAACGTATTATTGTAAATCGAGTTAATAACTTCATTGAAAGTCACAACTTGCTAAAGAATTACCAGTTTGGCTTCAGACCAGGTCATTCTACAGTACACCAAATCACAAGAATTACAGAAATTATCGGACAACATCTAAATAGAAAGAGACTGTGCTGCTGCCCTATTTTTGGACACGAGAAGGCTTTTGACAAGGTTTTGGCATGCTGGCCTCCTTGTCAAAATGATAAATTATCAATTTCCTCCGGACCTTATTACGACAATATTCAGCTACCTAGACAGTAGAACTTTTCAGGTTAAAATTAAAGATACTTTATCCAGCAAGAAAATTATTCAGGCCGGTCTTCCGCAAGGAAGTTTACTTTCGCCAATATTATTTTGTCTATACATCAACGATATGCCAAATATCCCAGATACTACTTTTGCTTGCTATGCGGATGACACCGCAATCATGTGCAGTTCTATTAGCCCCATCAGAGCAAGAGATAAGCTTCAAAAAGCTGTTAATATCCTCACCAAGTGGTTTTACGCTTGGAAGATCAAAACCAATGCAAACAAGTCTCAAGTCATATTTTTTAGATACAACCTCAAACATAACTAGTGTTATGTTGTTTACTTCTTTGATGGTGCCACAGTACCTACAGTTAAAAATATTAAATACTTGGGTGCAATTCTTGACGATAAGCTTACATTCAGGCCGCATATTATGTATACTCGTGAAAAAGCTCACAAAGCTTTTACTTCTACTTATGCCTTAATAGGGAGACATTCAAAATTACAACTAAGTACTAAGAGAATTCTGTATCTTCAAGCAATAAGACCGATTTTATTGTACGCAGCACCAGCATGGGCCGCTACAGCCAGATCAAATCGTCAGATTTTGCAAAGATTGCAAAATAAATTTCTTAGAACTATCACAGACTCACCGTGGTTTGTAAGAAACACTGCAATACATCGTGGAATGAAAATCAAACCATTAGATAGCGAGATCTTAATTGCCTCACATAATTTCTACACCAAATGTGATAATCACGAAAATGAAGCTATACGTAGCATAGGAGATTATGACTATACAGTCATTCAACGCTGCAAAAGACCAAGAACGATACACCATAACGAGTTATGGTGATCGATGTACATAGTGAATTTAATGTTTTTTCTACTTTTCATTGTTTACTCTTATTTTATTTACTTAATTATTGCTTAATTATTGCAAAGCGATATGGACTTTGCGCTCCCGGAGGCAGGACTTTGATTTGTCTTATGTGTATAAAACTTCAACGTTTGGTCAGTGCAACTATGCTCCGCCCACTACTGTTATATGCCTCAACTATTATGCCCACGCTATTTTGTTGCTCCAAAACACGGAGGAAGGAGGACACTCAGCCGTAGTACCTAGGAGGAGAAAGTTATGCCAAAGTTTTTATGCTACAGATGTGTTAAAATTCTTTTACGATGTGAAAGTTATGCTTCAGATGTTAAATCGCTATTTTACCAAAGTTATGCCACTGTTACATACTGCCACATTGGATGTCATTCAACACTTCAAGTGTACAGGTTTATTCCAATACTTGGAATTTTTTTTCCCCCCACTTTTAGGATTCCTATTAAGGACAGTTATAGATAGGTAAAGACTTACCGTCGTATACCTATTGAATAAGCGAGGACCTAAGACCTAAGATTAAAATAGTCACAAAATTATTATGCAACGGACAAATAACCCAAAATATGCATACGCTTCCAGCTTTACGAACTTTTGCAGATGCGAACAGTTTTAAATATGCAGATGCTATTGAAAACGTTTGGTGAGAAAAGAAAATCATTCAAAGCGACAGCGCAAAAAGCGTTAGGCCATTTAATTTGAAAAATACGCGCGATAATAAAAAGACTTGAAAACGGTGAGAAAATAGTGAATATCGCGTGTTTGACAATCAGATCAACTTTTAAACACAAAGCCCACCAGCGCCCAATCGGTAAAGTAGCTGTACACTGGTAGTTCGGTCCAACGTTCGAACCCCGTGAACGGGAAGCCTGAATGGGCGTTTTTGCAGTTTTGTAACGTGTACACCAGCCAGTTTCCCTTATAAAATCCTCCATGAAGGTACGGGCGTTTTCGTGGTTTTGTAACGTGTATACGAGCCAGTTTCCCTTATAAAGTCCTCTACGAAGGCACATAGCCATCAAGTGCTTTGCCATAACTCAATAAATTAAATCAAACCAAACAGTGCAATGAAGCAATCAATTGTTATCAGTTAAAGGTGCAGTGCCGATGCAATTAACAGACCTGATGCATCTCGAAGTGCAACAAAGAAAGAAGTGTGCATAAGTTTAAAAAGCTCGACGCAAGCTTAATGGCAGTAGTAATGACATACCAAAATCACCCAGTGTCACCCTAGCTCTCTATGCAGATGACACAGCCATCCTAGCAAGACACAAACACCTGGTCAGATTGGTTCATAACATTCAGAGTTATCTCTCAGCCTTGAGCACTGGCTCATTACTGGAAAATAAAAAATTAATGTTGCGATAAAAAAAAAAAAAAAAAAAAAAAAAAAAAAAAAAAAAAAAAAAAAAAAAAAAAAAAAAAAAAAAAAAAATTTTAATAAAAAAAAAAAAAAAAAAAAAAAAAAAAAAAACAAAAAAAAAAAAAAAAAAAAAAAATATTTTAAACGAGCTCCCCTCCCATTAACTTAAAGTTCTTTAAAGATTATGTTCCCTGGTCTAATTCTTACAGTTATCTTTGTGTTATACTTGATTCCAAATTAATCTGGCCCCTTCAAATTGATAATATGATCAAAAAAGCAAAGGGAGTCACATCCCAACTTTACCCACTTTTAGCTCGTAACAATCAACTGTCAATCAAAAACAAAGCTCTTCTCTACAAATCTATTTTAAGACCTATTATATTATATGCATGCACTATTTGCGGAACTGCGGCTAAGACTCATGTGAAAAACTTCAATCTTTTAATCGTAGTGTAAGTAATACCCTACGATTCTAAATTTCCTTTTGCTGTTCCAGATATTCTTTTATTTGATGCAGCAGAGTAAAAGCGCTATGTCGCTCTCTTTCCATTCGACACATGTCCAACTTCAGTTCCAGCATAACTTCCATGAAGGAAGGACGTCTCTTGTTACGCTGCCATAATATGCCAATAGCTTATCCATCTTCGCTATAATTTGCTCACACCAACCTGAAAAGTGGTCTTTTACATAATTATCAATCTGTTATTTTAAAAATCACATCCTCCCGCGGAATTTACTTCTGCATTGAATATTTTCTCGTGATTACCTTGCTATATTTGCACTATTACATCAAGCCACGTGCCAATGCGCCTATTAATCTAAATCGTAAAATCTTTCCTATCCGCTTTTTTGCTTTAGTGTTTATATTATGTATAAAAAACTATAGGGGGAAAAAAAACAACCTTAAAATATAAAACTACAAAAAAGTTTAAAATTTTGAAAAATGATTATAAAAACTAAAATTTCATTTTATTAATTGTTTATATTTATCTCAATCCCTAACCTTTATCGAGCATATGTGGCTCCCTCTGGCTTGCATCAAGTTAACTAACTTATGCAATTTTCTTATTTCTGCTCACTTTATTTAATTTTGATGAGGAGGTAAATGGTTTTAAACCATAGGCACTCCGTAATTTGAAATCATTGGCATTGGCAGTAGCATTTTCCAAGTTTGAAGATCTTACTTTTTTTGGAACATCAAGACTCAGATTCGCACAGTTTAGCTGATAAAAGTCTATTGTAACCCTCTCGTCTTATTTACGACGAAAGAATAAGTAAACCTGTTCAGTTTTGAAATTTATTTCCTAGAGAAAGATGCTTCAGAAATCGGTTTGCTGGTTCATATAATATGTCAAATCCCTTCACACAGTCTCTTCATCGCAAAATCGTATTCCCTTTACTTCCGAGAGCGAGTCAGGAGTTGACTCATCCTACCCATGTAAAGATCTACTAGCCTCATCCTTATCCAATCCACTCATGCCTAAAAGACGACAATCCAATCTTATTTTTTTATAATATACTGCATTTTAAAATTTGAATTGTATTATTTATTTGTATTTTTTTAATTTCATAGCAATTTTAGCTTTTATCTCACGAATAGCGCTAAACACAGATATGCGTAGGGAATGTAGTAACATTTCACAAAGAAATTCATCGTACGAATGGTCGTCTGGTACATAACTCGTTCGTAAGTTGGGGAGCGTCTGTATTAGTAGCCGTTAATAATGTGATCTGGTATCAGTGATGAATTTTATTTAGAGTATTACAGTTAGAATATTAGTACAAATATATTTAAAAGTTATTATTTCTAAAATATAAACTATCTTACCTTGTTCATCAATTGAAAAAAATCCCATTCCGTCACCATCAAGTATTGAATATGTAAACTGACTGTTTAAGCCAGGAGGATCAGCATCATAAGCAGTCACTTTAGTCACTAAAGTTCCCTTGGGTTTATTTTCCATCACTTGACCCACAATCACTACGTCATCAAATGCCGGTGGGTACATGTTTTCATTCACGTCTTCAATTTCTACCACAAGAGCTGCCTGAGATTCAAGTGGTGGATCTCCACCATCTCTAGCGGTGATTGTAACGTTATACAATTGAATTGTTTCGAAATCCAGAGGCTTGGATAGCCGCACAACTCCCATTAAAGGATCAATGGAAAATGTATTGCTTCCAGATAAAGAATACATTACTTCTCCTCCTTCATCCAAATCTGGATCGCTAGCTACCATAACTATTACTACAACTCCTACTGGAAGATCTTCACGTACTTTCACCCAATATTGCTTGAGACTGAAGAATGGAGCATTATCATTGATATCTAATACACGGATGTTAACAACTGTAGTAGATGACAATGGATTATCGGGGGAGCCATCAGTTACACGAGCCTTCAACTGATAGGAATCAGAGCGTTCTCGATCAAGATTGCCCAATACCATAAGTAGACCAGAAGCTGGGTCGATATGAAATTCTTCAAAATCTGTTTCAAGACAGAATGTGAGAGCGGAGTTAATTCCTTCATCTTTGTCATTCGCACGAAGTCTGACAATACTGGTACCGTTCTTTGCATTTTCTGTTATGACGAAATTGTATGAGCTTTTCTCAAAAACAGGTTTGTTATCATTCACGTCATCAACATGAATGATAAGAGATTTCGAAGCACTTCGTTGAGGATTTCCCAAGTCGTAAGCGGATATATTTAAATCAAATTCTGATATAAATTCTCGATCCAATGGTGCGTCGACATACAGACGACCCGTGAACATATCTATTCTGAAAAAACTAAACTCATCTCCAGATGTAATTACATGTACCAAGAGTCCACTGAAACCTTTGTCTTTATCTCTTGCTTTAAGCCATGTTACCTCTGAACCAACGGGAAGGCTTTCATTGATCCAAACCTCAGATGGAAGGCCCATAGGAAACTCAGGTGAATATTTATTTCCAGAGACGCTAGTTGGTGTAGGCTCTGTAATATCATTATTTTTATTGTTTGCTTTCGCAAGATTCAGCTGTTTCTTGTAACGCTCTGTTACACCTACATCCCTACATTCCATTAATGCTCCTCTGTCTGCAAGTCTTTGGTTACTTCCGCTGCTTATTACCTTCAAGTGTATAGACATGACATCAGCAAAGTGAGTACCATCAGTAGCAGACACATTTATCGTGCGTTCACGAATATTCATCTTGGCAATATCACACGTAATTCTTAATACACCAGTTGAAGGCTCCAGACGAAAACAAGGATCATCATTAGAGGGTACCATCCGATACTTTACGGAACTTCCACTATCGAAGTCTATTGCTGACAGAGTAATTATTTCAGTATTTATTGGAGCAGACTGAGATACATAGCCTTCGCAGCCAACCTTTTCAAATAAAGGACGATGATCATTTACATCTCGCAAGCGAACTTTAAGCGTCATTTCTGCTTGTCTTCGATAAGGTGATCCCCAATCTGAAGCTCTAACTTTTAAAATATACTCTCTACGCATCGTCTCGTAATCTAATACTTCGGTAGCACGAATTTCACCCGTAAATGGATCCATCGTAAAAGGGATAGAATTCAAATTTGCCAAACTATATGTAATATATCCATTATCCCCTTCATCTTTATCGACTGCATAAGCCGTGTACACTATGCTACCTGCCGGCCTGTTTTCGTCGAATACTACAGAATCCATCGTGCTGTTAAAAACAGGATCATTATCGTTATTATCAAGAACTCTCACATTAACTATAGCTGTTGATTTTCGCTTTTGCCCTCTTGATGACGGATCAAAGACACTTACAGTTAGCGAGTAATATGGTTTTGTTTCTTTATCTAAGGGAGTTGCCAAGGTTAACAACCCAGACTTGCTGTGAACAGAAAAAGTACCATTTGAATTTCCACTTTCAATTCTAAATACAATCGGTCTATTTTCTGATGCAGCAGTTTTCAAATGAAGAACTCTAGATCCTGGGGGCGAAATTTCTTCAATTTCGATATCGTAATCGGCTTGAGTAAAAGTAGGAGTTACATCGCTAGTTTCAGCTAAGCGGACAGTAATAACCTGGGTTGCCGATCTCTGTGGTATACCTTTATCTTTAGCCATAAGAGTTATTGTGTAATCTTGAGGTATAGTATCATCGCGCGTCAACGGCTGCACAAGCTCGATGTTGTACTCATTGAGCTTGTTACCAGGAGTGACCTGAAACAGCCCAGCTGAATCGCCCTCAATTATCTCTAATGCCTCCAATTCTCCATGAATGCCAAGGTCCTTGTCAATGACACCTACAACAGCATATATATTTGGATCAGAAGGAGAAAGTAAAGAAGAAAAATGGCGTACAAATATTTCTGGGGGATACAAATTGACTGGCGTTACTTTGACTGTCACAGTTGCAAGGCGAGCTGCTAGTTCTTCAACACGAAATTTTATGCCTCTATCCTTGGCAATGATAGTTAACTGGTGCAATGGTTGTTTTTGGTAGTCGAGGTGTCGAGTTAACGTTAATATACCTCGCGTTGGATGAACGGCAAACTGAAGACTAGGTTCTGCCAGGCTATAATATATTTCCCCGTTTATGCCCAGATCTGGATCATGGGCACTTAATTGTAAAATGCTGCTGTGCAAAGGTTTATCTTCAGGAACACTTACATCATAAGAAGATGGATAAAATGTAGGGGTGATGTCATTTGTATCTGTTACATGAACTATGACCTCCGTCTGAGCTTTCATCTTGACAGCGCGTCGCAAATCTGATGTGATAGTAGCACGTACTAACAATCGATATGTATCTTGGTATTCTCTGTTTAGTACTGCCCTGTTACCGGTGCGAACTCGAATGATGAGAAACCAAAAATCTCCCACAAGACGGGTTTCTGCTTTGAAAAAACGCTCAGGATCACCAGCGAAGATCTTGTAGCGTATCAGAAGCGTGGGGTCCGTAACGAATATACCCATCTTCTCGGTGGAAAGAGCTTGGGTCTTTGGAATGGAATTTTCAGGAATAGTTACATTATATTGTGCTTTGGTAAATTCCAATTCGCTGAACATGGCCGATGCCACTTGCAGCAAAAGTAATTTGATAATCAGGGCCAGGTAAAGGCCCTGAATGAGGTGGAAATCAGCCATTCACTTGCTTGGGGTCAAGATAACATTTCTGAAAAGAGAAAAGACACAAAAATGAACATTTATAACAATGTTACAACAAAACATGTTAAGTATTACAGCGTATAGACAATAATACAGAAAAATAACCATGAAAGGAACACACACCGAGTTGATTCACTAATTAGTATATCATTTATCTTAACCCAGATTTAAAATACTGTCTTCAAACCTTCAATCTCACGAGAAAATTTTTTCAGTTTGATTTTCATGAAATCCTTAAAAAGGAAAAGAAAATTGTGAAAACAAATACATTACAATTTCATAAATATTATTTTTTAAGCTGTATATTATATACTTTTAAATTCAAGATATCAGATTTTTTTCGATGCCAATCTGGAAAAGACAGTTCTGCCGGGATTGGATATTGTTATTTCAAACACTTAATATTAATATACTCAGCCACTGTTTTTCCTCCAAATGCCCACATTCCAGTGAATCTTCCGAAGAGAAAACACACTTACGGTCTTAAACCTTGTGGGTGTTATGAAGATGGAGGTGTTATAGCTATGGTCATATTCAATAATTGCTACTTGAGTATCTTTCAAAGATACTGGTCATTTTTAGTGGCGACTGCTATAAGAAGTTTCGCTATATTTAATTTCGTAAGGATTCGAACTCTGGACTAGTCGCATGTGTTTTGAATTAAACCAGGAAGGCACACGGTGAGAAATGGTAAAAATTCCATATAAGTATTTTTCCCTACATACACAGGAGCAGAAATACAAAAGGCGGAAAAATGGGCAGAGATACAAATTTATGATTTAAGAGGTGATTCAGAAGTAACAGTATTTAAAATATGAGAGATCGTAATAATGCTTCATATTTAGCAAATATCAACGTTCTTTACGGCTTTGATTTCAAATGAAAAGATTGTATTTGCATACATCTCTAACATAAAGCATTCATACATATAATTTCAGCGACTTATACAATTCAGAGTCACAACGACTCTTCCCTCATTTTCTATCATAATGTGTGTTGTCCTCATCGCACTGAGAGATGTGGGGTTTCAGCAAATTAGAGGATTTGATCTTTTTCTGCAACAGTTATTACCATGGTTATTAAACACGATGTGGTGGAGAAATGGCCTTGAATGCTATTCTAAAATAACACACTTTAAAGATGCTAAAATTAGGAAGTGTAAAGCTCTGGATATCAAGCCTCGCAATAAATTAATATTTACAGTTTTATTAATTTAGCAGTAATTAATATTAACTAATAGTTACAGCTTTACTAATTCACTACATGCACTAGAAATGCAGTGAATGCCTAATGACTGGACAAAATGCAATTGCATTTATTAAATGCGTATATTTCACCGCGCAAACATTCAGCATTACTATTTTAAAACTCAATTATTTTAAAACTCAGTTATCTTTTCTTTGAAAATTTTGTAGTAGAAGTTAAACTTTATTTTGTAATTTCTCAAATGCTACGACAATGGAATTTATTTCCACACGTATATGTGCCCGGAACAAGTGGACAAATTCTGATTATCGAATATGTAGGTGTGCGCTAAGACTGCGGTTCGCATATAAGTATATAACTCTAAATCTTTATTTATTTTTTATGTCAATTCGGCCAACTTGTGCAGTAGCACTGGAATCGAATAGTATTATTAACATATAAAAGAATCTACTTCTCTTCTGTCAACATTATTTTAGATTGGTAAGTGAAGGCTGAGGTTGTGTTCTCCAATGGGTACCAAAATATTTTGTTTGATTTATCACCTAGGCTAGAAGCCACCTTGGTAGTATGCAGGAGCACAAGTCAAAATAATTTACAAATATTTTCCAAAACATGGCTACACTTTTTCCCCTCTGAACGCTTAATGTCTTCCTCTATAGGAAGCTTAAGCAAAAGCTTAAATGTCTTGAGCTGAATCTGATAACAGTGACTGTATTGTATAAGTGGAAAATAGATCGTCACATTTATGCAATATAAAACATTCAAGCTTATAGTAGTGTTTGATGGTCTAACAGAAGATTTATCAACCCACATTATTAAGGTACCAAACAAAGCGTGCAATAACTGTAATAGCACAATCAAATCAACATTACCTAGTGAAACGCCTCATTAAAACTGAATCTTTACCTCTCCGATTATAAGCGAAATGCATTATTCTTCCCTGCCTGCTCTTAAGTGCTCGGGGGATTATCTTCCCCACATTCAAAATGACAATTTACAGAAGCGAACCAGAGCCCCAAAACGAAAAGTTCCGAAGGAAGAGAAAAGAGGCATTAGAGACATGCAAGCCCTTCTCCCTCTTCCAATCCCCTTAATGAATCCAAGTAAATTAACTTTACAAAATCCTCTTCCCCATTCTAAAGGATGTCAATATTTTCCAAAACGTCACTTAACATCCCCGACAACAGCTGGTAATTAAGTTTTCGAATGATGGATGACAAAATATGTATTACACCGACGACAACGCGAGTCAATGGCGTACCAGTTTCAGAACATTGCAATCCCAGTTATGCTATTAAAAGGGGTTGCACCGGTTCAGTTCCGAGAGCTTTTGCTTAACGTCAAACATAATTTTCGTTCTATTTTCCATTTCGCACCCTCCCGAAGTGAGTATTTACGATCTCAGTAAATCACACGAACAGCGAGAAACGGGCAACGACAACTTACAAAATGGGTATTCCTATGGAGTTGACAACGCAAATGCTTGCACGATACTGCCTTGAACATCGGGTAAATGGTAAACTACATTTTGTTGCAAATGCAATTCAGTTGGTAATCATGCATCGTTAATTGGAAAACAAAGCACAGGAACGGCGGTAACTTAGAAGTGACAACTTGCTGTGTGATGAATTGAGGACTGCATGTTTTTAATTATCACCTTGAATAACGAACCGTGACAAGATATGTAACGAAAAGCCACACTCTGACATTAAAACGTATGACAAATTACAAGTTAAAAACGAAAGGACATGCATTGATTCATTTCTTAGCTTATGAAACACTGCTGAATAATTCGACCCACTGGAAAAGATTGAAAACAAATACGTTTACAAAGTAAAAGTTATCAGAAACCATTTTTGGAGTAATTACAGCCTTCAATAAAATGTTTGGATTCTTAACAGGAGTTAAGCGCCTTTAGACTGTACAAGGCAGGACAGATATAATTATTAGAAAACTGAGCGGCAGAAACTATTTTTACTACACACAGCAGATACTATTTTTAAAAAACAGCACGGCAGAAAACATACAAAAGACAAATACGCAATCGACTAGCACTACGGGAACGAAAATAATGAATTACAAAAGTGTTCATTCAAAATACAGGTTATTAGAAAGAGATATGTTCTGAAAACGAATGATATTACATCAATACACCAGAACAGATCAGCAAATTTTAAGTATTAAACACTTCTAGTTGCGACTCGAATTCGATAATGGCAACAGAATTAGTCAGTTGTACGCGTGATTTCCTGAGCGTGAAACATTATCAGAGCTAGATACTCTTGAAATTTCTCCATATTCTTTTTTGAGTAGATAATCTTCATGTCCTCTCTCTGTAGGAATAATCATCTGCCAACCGAATCTATTATTACCAAATACCGTCATTTCATATTTCATTTTCGCCATTCAAAAGGTTAAGAAAAGATGCACTAAATGAAGAAGATGATGTGCTAATTAAAGGAAAAACGCACTGGTGTCACACCAAGAATGCGCATGGATAGAGCTGATGAGAGAAAGAACTCTGCATACCAAAATACTCGTAATTGCTTATTTACATATTTTGGAATCATATTTACATTTATTTTTAAGTAAGCCATAAACCAAAGGAAGTTAAATACAGCAATCTGATGGCCAGCGAATTAAGAAGCTGTCAAGAATATATTTAAGAACTATAACAGCATTAAAAAAAACACATTATCAGGTTCAATGTTCCGTCTTACTTTCTTTGGGAACATGCACAGACCTAACTCGGAACAGGGAGCTTACTAAAGCTATGTTCAATAAATGTGGGAAGTAGACAAGATACACAGGAAGGGTATACGAAACCCTTTATTTTTCACTCTTTACAATAATTTCCGTACCTCGGAATACAGAGACCAACTACTTGTGGTCTGAACGTAAGAATATAAAAATATTTAACTAAACTCTACCTTAACTTTTTGAATAATAAACAAGGGCCTACGTAGAAGATTGGCCTTATATTAACAGGAAGCCGTATGTAGTACAGAGAACTGTTAACACTACAATACGTTTAAAAATTATCACGAGGATTAAACTTCTGGCCTGGAAGGCAACCAGCAACTGAGTAAAACTGCTAAGGTAAGCGGCCTGCTTCGACTAACTCCTTCCTCTCTCTCGCTTGGCAAAAAGCCACAACTTAAGGTACTTGGCGTTCGCCAGACAAATTTGCATAAATAAGTTAAAGCTTTTAATTCTGGCCGGAAGTAGAAAATAAGAAGTGATAGTAAAGATTTAAAATAAAAATAAACGTTAGTAAAACTTAAGATCCTTACAACATATGCAAATATAAATAATAGTTTTAAAGAAATCTGAAAGGTTTCAGATTTTAATGGTCGTCCAACAGGGTTTGTTAAGGTTTTTTACGCTCTCGCTGAGCTCGCAGTCTACCAGTCCACACTCCTATTAAAATAGTTTTTTTTTTTTTTTTTTTTTTTTTTTTTAAATATATAAATCCCAAAGAGGCAATTTGCCCAGAGAGGTTATTAATTTCTTTTTGACATTTTGAGTTATTTCACTATAAACGGCGAATCACTTTTTAAATTTTTGCCCCCAAATATTAGAGCCATGTATTATATTTAAAGAAATTAATTAATGAAGAATCTGCATAAATGTATATATGTTTCTCTCGTGATAAAAACAATGGTACCTAGAACCATCAAATTTTGATTAACGTACGTCTCCAACTGAATATGAGCATCTGGAAGCCCGAATTTGGAATTTGTTTTATTATCTATTTCATATT